TGAGGATCCACCGGCCCCCAAAGCCCTCTCTCTGTCGGCACCCTGCGGGCAGAGGACCCACTGTGACCCTGAGCCTGCCCCTCCTCCCCCACTCCGTGGGCCCCCAGATGCAAAGGCTTTACCTGCAGCTCTCCTGGAAGCGGCACTTGCCCTCCAAGAAGAACGGGCAGGGCTTCAGAGACTTGTGAGTGGGGTAGAGGTAAAGGACCCGCACGCCCGCCGAGCCGTCGTCCGCCTCCTCTGCACCCACAATCATGGCGTTGTGGTACTCCAGGGTGCCCCAGGAGCTGTAGTAGGGGGCGTTCACCTTCCTCCCACTCCACTCTTCCTCCTCCTCGTCCTCGCCCTCTTCCTCCTCCTGCCCAGGCCTGCTGGGTTCCGGCCTGGCCTCCCCTTCAGGAGCCGTCTCCAGCTCTGCCCTGGGGGCTACAGACCCCTGCGCCCCCTCAGCAACGGCCTCCTGGAAAGCCAGGTACTCGGCATCGCCCCGGGCTGGGTGCTCTCCGTCCAACGTGGCCAGCAGCTTGCTCTTCCTGACGGACACCAGGCTGGCCTCGGTGAGCTCGATCAGCTCCTTCAGGTCCCCCTGCAGCTGGCGCAGGTCGGCCAGCTCCGAGGGATCCAGGCCGGCTCCCAGAGCCAGCTCCACCTGCTGCAGCTGGGCGTCATAGGTCCGCAGGGCGGTCTGCAGGCTCTCCTCGTCCATCCTGGACGGAACGAAGGCAGGGGCGCGTCCTCGGGGCCTCAGAGCTGCAACGAACACAAGCCGAGGGGTCCCGGACCTGCCGCCCTTATTGCCGGGCTACCCCTGCGGGGCCGACGCCGCGCCCTGCGCCGACAGCTGCGCTCCGCAGTCCTCACCGCAGCCTGCTATTCTCCCTCCCGTTTGGGGGACGAGAAAAAGGGCCGGCAAGGCCATCAGCTCCGAGTGGAAAAGCCGCTGGCCCCGCGGCCTCGGCTCCCCTCCCTCCGCGCCCGGCGCTCCCCGGCCCCGCCCCCCAGGT